TTTTTCCAACTGTCCCCTTATTGTTGTGTCCTTGTTGAACACGAATTGCATCTCTCCGATGCCCCTAACTCAAAATGGTGTCATGACTATGCAGTAATTCCCATAAAATTTGCTGACAAATTTTATTATCCTGCATTTTCGTATAAAGGACATTTTTTCTAATATTTTGTTTATAATATCAAACGACATAAGCCATTAGAAAATCAGTGAACGTAAACGCGCTATAAAAAAGCAACGAAACAAAAAAAAAAGCAGCACCAACAACAATCAAGTTATAACACTAAGCTTACCAACCAGTAAAGCCACGAATATTGCCATCAAAAGACAAGTTGGTTATGCTTTGTTGGCTTGACTGCGTGCGTTTGCAGCTCTGTATTTTTATCGTTAACTGCTTTGGTGGTCGCCGCAACGACAACTCAGTTAACACACACACTCTCACACGGCACACGCGCAAAAACTTTCCTACATATTTATACTCCACTGTGTAGAGCAGTCCACCCAACGCTTTGTTGTGGGCAGCTCCTTTGTTGTCTTAGCGCTTTTTTGGCTTCCATACGTTTTGGCTATTTGTTCAGCTGATGAGTAATAGTCATACCGAAAGTCATCTAATACTACTTACCACCGACAGACACTGACGTGGCTGAGGTGGTGGTTAACGTCAAGTAATGGTCGTTTTTAATGCTTGCTGCTGCTAGTTTGGTCACTACTTTGTAGTGTTGTTCTCGTTGTTGCTGCTGTTTGCGTTTGGGGTGTTTTCGACCTCAAAATAGAATGTGTAAGTTGTGCATGATTTATAGTAGTCGGTTGTGAATTGCAAACGCATTTTGACTTTTTTAAAATAATTTTTCTTAAAATAATATTTAGATCTTTCCACTCCTGAAATCAATGCGGAATAAATGACAAGCCACTAGGATTAGTGGACAACTTCGGCAAGTGAATGCTTCAGTTTGTTTGCGAGAGTTTCACCATTCACTTAGTTTTGCTGATCACTTCATTCATATATGTAGCTGTAATTAAGGATCGATAGGGTTACCAACTAGCTTATAATTTTATACGAAAATTTATATAAAATATTGCAATCGGAGTCTCAAACCAAAGTAATTTTGAAATACAATGGTCCAGTAATATTTACAAGTAGAGTTACCAACCACATATCGAAATGAGTAAGATCAATTATTTATGCATATTTTTTATGGGTATAAGGCGAAAGGTGTTTTCTTCTGAATCAATAGGGTTGCCACTTCTTGCTACTACATTTTCCAATCGTTTGAACCCCATATTTCCATGCTAACATCAAGTGAGAGATATTTAAGGAATTCAATTCAAAGAAATTCATTGAAGGGTTGCCACCTGGCCATACAGGGTAAAAATAACGAAATAATTTTGTCGTGCTAAATGTTTCAATGTAGATATTAAAATTAAAGTGTTTCAGAAAATTGTATTTCCTAATTTTTTACGAACAGAGTTGCCATTTCTTAGCACATAAATAGTAAATTAAGCTGAAAAATTTCACAAAATATTACGGGTGAGCTTTAAAGAAGTTAATTCGTGATATTTGAAGCCAACTAACCAAAAAAACTAAAAATTTTTGAATGGGGTTGACATTTTTTGTTTTGTTAAATAGGTCTCAAATAAAAGAAAATTTATTATTTTGAAAATATGTTCTAAAACAACTGTAAAAAATTTAAATTCATAAAACAAAATATTATAAAAAAATTCAACACTGGCGCAAAATACAAAATTTTAGTAATAAAAATATCTAATAAAATAAAAAAAAAATCCGTACAAGTTAGGGGAAATGCGTAACAAGTTTGAATGAAAAAAGTTATGGAATAAAAAATTAAAAATTCTTTCCAGGTTTTTTAATTAGCTCGCAGGAATATTTAATAAAATATTTAAAACTATCGTCAAAAAAGTTTCCTTACTCATAAACATTTTTTTCTTTTCTTGCAGATTTTACGGTTTTTAGTGGACTTTAAAAACCAGCAGCAAAATATTGATTCAAAACCAAAAAATATTAAATACAAATATTTATGCTAAAAAGATTAGAAAAAAGTAAACTCTTATAAAAACTACACATTATATACTAGAATAAAGCAAAGAATAACAGAAAAAATACCAGAAAATCTATCAGCAAAAAATCATACAAGTATTTACAAGTCCGCAGCAAATAAATGCAAAAACAAAACAAAAATTAAAAATTAAATTAAAACCACTAAAGCGCCAACTACAATAACGCTAGTCAAAAAAACTAGAAGTTATACCAAAAAATATAAATAAAAAAATATTAAAAATTATTTAAAAAATTACTAAAAACTATTTAAGCAAAACAATATTACAAAGCTTATAAAATCGCATACACATCAACCTCAAAAATTAATTTACTTAAAAAATAAAAAAAATCCAAACTAATTAATTTACTCTGTACAACAACGAAGAAAGTACGAGTAAATTCGAAAAACCTGAATTTCAAAAACTCAAAAGAAAAACACTCAAGAACTCACTTGCTCAGCTGCAAGCAAGCGCAACAGCAACAAAGTGCAAGAATAAAAATTTGCATCTCACACGCTTTTCCAATTTCCATTTATAAACGGAAAACGGCGCGAGAGCACACACACGCCAAAGAACGAAATAACAATTGCAACAGCAACAACAAAAACATCAGCTAAAGCAACCGCTGCATAGACAACGCGGAGTCGCAATTGCTTGAAGTTGCAGCGCTAGTGCAAAAAAGCCAACAACAACAAAAAGTTATATTAAATCAAATTTAGTGCAGAAAATTTCGCGCTCTCTTTTGGCCGTGGCGACGTGCTGTTGCAGCAGTCGTGCCATAACGCAGAAAACAGTTAGTCATCAACGGCGCTTGCCAACAGAGTAACTCGAAGTAGTACATGCCACAAGAGTGAAGCACAAAGTGCGCGTAGACAAGCCGGCAAAAAGCAAAGAACTACGCAGCGAAAAATTGGGAAAAAAATTATTTGAAATTTCAAAATTTTTCTAAAGATTTTTATAAGAAATTTTTAAGGAATTTCCGTGAATGTGATTATTAGTGCATACTTGAACCCACAATTAAGCCAAGACACAAACCAAACAAAGTAGAAATACCAAAATTATTTCGAACCGAAAGAAAAGACTGATTTGGATTTGAAACTTCCAAGAAGTTTTGAATTCAAAAAATCGTGTGTAAGTAGAGAAGCGAAAGCGAGGTTCCGCTCTCAGATAGAAGAAGAATTGTGACGTTTTCAAAACTGCACAATTGCGCGCGCTGAAGTGCTAGTGAAGGTTCCTGTTAAACTTTAGAAAGCAAATACCAAAAAAAAAAACCATACAAAAAACCAAAAAGTGACAAAATATTTTAAATTTGCGCTTAAGTTCCGACTAAACGCGTTTCTAAGTGCGTAAGGCAAACATCTGGAAAAACCCGTTAAACAACTACAGTGACTCAAACCAAATTAGCCTAGACCAGAAAACCATTTAAATCCAACTTAATAACTTTTGACATTTCCACTGCGCTGCTGCTGAGCGCTCAATAAGAAATCCACAACAACTTCAACCCAACTATAACTTACAACAAATCCACGCTCAGAAAACACTACACCACACCAATCGACAAGTGCGCACGCGCCACTTAGAACAACAATGGCCAACGGTAACGGTAACAACGCAAGCGCCGCCGCAACTGCTGTCACCAGCAATGGTGAAGGCAACGGCTTGGCCACCAATGGCGGCATAGGCACCACTACGACGAATGGTGTTGGCACAACAGTCGCTGAACATTTGAATGGCGGTGGTGGTGGTGAGAACGCAGAGCATGTCAACGCCACTCCAACTGGCCAGGACACTGGTGGCAATGACAATGGCCACGATGCCGCAGATACTGAGACGGGTGGCGCTGCAGCTGGCGGCGATGCCACAGAAGGCGGTGACGGTGGTGGTGGTGGTGTGGGCGGTAGTGTTGGTGGTGGTTTAGGCGGTGCCGCTTCCACCTCATCAATGGGCGGCGATGATGCTGGCACCGATGCGGGCGCCAGCTCATTGCCACCGTCCGAAGAGGCGGGCGGTCGTCCGCCACTCGATACCGCTTGCTCTGATGGCGGTGGTGGTCCGTCGAGTTTGGGTGGTGGCATGGTTGGACCACCAAGTCCACTAACCGGTTGCTATCTGCTGATCGTGCTGGGTGAGCCACATTCGGAGGAGCATAAGGATAATATATTGCAGCATTTGTTGAAGGGTGAGTAGGAAATATTTACTTAATAGTTTTTTATTTAATTTGAAAACAGGTTTGTTTTAAGAGACCCTACTGAGTATTCATTTTTAAGTATATATCAAAGGTCTAACAATTTTACTATTTTATTACAAAGCGATTGAAAAGTCTTGAAAATTCGCGAATAAAACCCCTAAAGTTTCTAAAAGTGTCAGCATTGGCTGGAGACTACTAGAAAATCGTCTCCTGCTTTGGGAGATCAACCATTTTGAATGCCATCACATTTATGTTTCCGAATAGCATTATTCGAGCTCAACTACCCAGTATAGCGGAACCGTCATGTTGCTGCCTGACGCTCGTTTAGTTATGCGAGCTGCATGGACATGGTAGGTATCGCAAAGAATTAGAGGACTAAAGGGGTTTTTCCAAACGCCAGACCAAAAAAGGTACCTACTCATATGTCTCTAAAGTATTTCAGAATAATTAGTATCAGATCAGTAGAATCTGTTTTGCATACAATTCCGTAAGTTATTAGAGAGTCTTTTAAGAACATAATACTTCTTGGTTTGTACCTTCCCCTATATCGACGGATTTTTAATATGTAATATGCTACCGGAGGAGGCAATAAAACCCAACGCCAACTACAACAACGCTAGTTAGTAAGCTCAAACTCGATAACGGTGACATAACTGTCGTAGCCTGGTCGGGGAAGTTCAGAGGAAAGCTGGAGAAGTTAAACTTTGTCACAAATGGACGTTCATCTTATTCCCCAGGAAATTTAGAGCGCCTTATGCCCAGCTTTCCTCGATCGGTAGAGTTCAATATCTGCTCTCTTACAGGGTTAAGTACCTAGGCGTGTGCCTTTGCAGGAAGCTGGAAGCCAAATACTGATTGAACAGTAAAAATACTTAATTTGCTCTACTAAGCTGTAATAGTGCCTTTGGGATGACGTGGGACCCCTCTACAAAGTTGATATACTACTTTTGTATTCCGGCTTCGACGTTGTGAGATTTTCGGTGAAATTTTTCGGACGAACGTTCTACAATACATAATTCTTCTTCCCTGTCTGAAACGGTAATATTCGAAATGAGAGAAATATAGTATACAACTGGCAGTGTGTAGAAAAATGGAATGGAATGGAATTATGTAGAAAAATGTATATAAGTTAAAAAATAAGAGTGCTTGGAAAGAGCGGGCCTTGTTAGAGTCATCAGGACGTTTCGGACTCTACTACCTAAAAATATGGACATACTGGAGACTTCTTCAGTGAACATATTCTTGGAGAGATCAAAGTTGGATGATAGTTAGGGTGCCCTTAATCTCAAATTTAGGTTTCCAGATTTCTGCAGGACGTTTCAAGCAGAGGTTAGCGCCTTATATTGGTCAGTAGACCGGCTAAGTATTTTTGTAATGCCAATCAGGAGTAGAAATATCTACACTGACAGCCAATTAGATATCAGCGCTATATTGTCTGACCTCCCTCGCGATGACCCGGATTGCTTACAAACCTGGATTGTATGCGATCCGAGACGCAGCGACACTACCGGGAACTGCATAGCAGCCGAATTGTCTGGGCGGTCTTCTCATAGGCATTTAAGTCTTTAGCCGGCTCAAAGAGATATGGGCGAAAACTCCGAAATTCCAAGTTTTACAGTTTTTTGGCCGCTTGTGGACCGCAGACGGTATTCGGAGTTTCTTCAGCTGCCTAAGCGCGTAGTCTCAATTAGGAACACATGAATTAGATCGGTTATGAACTGTGGCTTCATATATTTTATGCTACCTATATACATACATATTTTTTATAAGTATACGCAATTAAAGTAAAAGCTCTCTGTAACCATCGCTGCTTTAAGACATTTATGACCAGAGATAGGCGAAATAAAGTGAGCAGATGGCAACTAATCTCAATAAATTCTGCTTAGACACTTGTTTTCTAAGCTTTTCAACAGGATATTACCGACCAGCATTGAGTGTTCCAACGCCTAATTGGGGAAGAAAACCAATCCTTGAACAATGTTTGCAATTATACTCGTAAGTATAACGAGTGCGATAGGATTTGTGTACAGCGGTGGCGACCACTTAGTGCTTTTACTTTGCTAAGTTTTAGACGTGATAAATCTACAATTAGTCAGTTAAAACTGATCAAATTCTCTCTTTTGAACCCTTTCAGGACGAAAGGAAACATGCTTCTCATAAAGAGTTTCTTCTCAAGAAAACTGTGTGGTTTTCTGCTTTTTACAGTGTGCTTAATTTTTACTTACCTATTTATGTCACAAAATTAAAAAAATATTTTTACCAAACTAGAAAAATTTACGTTAAATTAGAAAAGAGCTTTTGGAAAAGAAGATAGCTTTAGAAAAGAATTATAGAAAAGAAAATAAATTTTTAAGAAAAAAAAATTGGAAAAAATATGCACTTGTAGGAATTTTAGGAAAAATAGTGATTTTTCGGAAACAGGAGTAATTTTTTAAAGGAAGACATCTTTTATTAGAGAACAAACTAGCAGGGCTACCGGCCTAAAATCTTTTTAGCAAATATATTTTTTACCTAAAGTCGAAAAAATTATTCAAACAGAAAAAAAATGTTTTCCTTATCTTTTCTTTACGAAAATTCAGGAATTTGTACCGACTTCAAAATGGGAGGTGATTCTCATTTCGTTGTGCCGTTGGTTTAGTAACACAAAAGCTCTTGGAATCATGAATAGCTTGAAAAAAGAGGCCTACTGTGTTAATTCGCACATATTTCGAACTCATAGATGTCGCTGCAATTTATTTCTGCTTCACTT